AGCGAACGCGAGTGAAGGAGGGCTTACCACAAAGACCGGCGCGTTGGTCATTCGCAAGCTTGTAGTCGGTTCCTGAGTTGGATCAAGGAATATCAAGGAGCCCAAAGACCCTCAAAGACCCAAAGGTGAATAGAGGGGCTCCTGGATGATCGGTCAGGTCCTATACAAATCCATTCAAATCCGATATAGAAGGTCGTTCTTGAATACGTGACACAATTCAAGAACGTATTCAAGAACGACCTTCTATATCGGATTTGAATGGATTTGTATAGGACCTGACCAGTCCGTGACCTGGACCTTGGTTCGTGACCTCTCCAGGGACTTGGACAAATCCTGGGATCTCAGTCCATCAGTTCAGATGACCAAACGCAAAACGACCCGACGGCATGCTCCTTCGCCGTTCACGGTCAAGCCCGCCGGGCTCCGCGGGGGCCGTCCGATCTTTAGGCCGAAGCTCCAAAGACCTTCAGGCAGAAGGAATCGTAAGTCTCCTGGCACGCAAGGACTCGTTCTTCTTCGTTGTTGTAGCCCGGCAGCATCGTCGAAAGTTTTCCCTCAGCTTCCATGTTGCCACAGAGATTCCTCAAAACGGTTGAAAACTCACTTCGGAGGCAGGAACGAATGTTCATTCATGCTACTTCCACTATGATACTTCAATGTATTACATGTATGTACTGTTACTTTCTCAATCATGGTCTGGGAATGCAGTTAGAACATGAAGATAAGGCAACAAGAACTGCATGCAACCAATAGCTGCAAAATGAGTCTGCGACGGTGTGCTTTGCAAATTTTTTCCACGGCAAAGGGTTGTGGTTTATCGTTTGATGGCCACAGCGGTTGTTCTTGTGGTGTCCCCGTGCGATATTCTGTCTACGCCCATCTTCTGTCTGTGCTCGTGTGCACTGCGGCAGGTCGTCAGTGGTTCCAGATTAACCAAAATTCCTGAATTGATTGATGTCTATAAAAAATGCTCTAAGTGCCAAGTGCTAGATACCCCGTGCAATATTCCCTTTGAGCTCCTTTCTACCTCCGCCCGACACACCACCTGTTGGAGGCAAGCCCCAGCTGCACGGACGGAGGGGTTCCGGGGCTGTTCGTAAGCGTGTTTTTTGAGGTCGCTGGTGGGGTTCTGGTGAAATTTGCTGGTAGGAATGGAGCCTTGGTGAGCTGCTTTTTGGAAAGGGCGACAGCGCTGGGAGGCCTCGAGGTTCGCAGAAGCCAAGAGAGTGTCTTCATCAAGCTGCCCCGATCCAAAGAGCTGGGAAAATCACTTCAGGAAAAAAGATCCATCTCCCAGCCCACAGTTGGACCCAGTGCGGTCGAAGTCGGGCGAACTACAAGGGCAATTCTGCAAGGAATTGTTTTTCCCCATCTGTCAGGCAAGGGTTTTTAGATTTTATGTCAGCTGCCGTCGTCCTCCTCGTCCTCCTCCTCCGCCTCCTCTCAACCGCAAGTGCAGGATGGCAGTGTCCCCCGCCGGACCTCAGCCGCGAGCTTCGGCTGGCAGTGTTCCCCGCCGGACCTCAACCGCGAGTCAGAAGATACGCCAGATACAACGCCAGAAAGAATGTCAGAAGATATGCCAGAGAGAATGTCAGAAGATACGCAAGAGAGAATGCCATAAAGAATGTCAGAAAGAGAGTGTCAGAAGATATGCCAGAAAGAATGTCAGCAAATATGCCAGAAAAAATATCAGAAAGAATGTCAGAAGACATGCCAGAGAGAATGCCGAAATAATGTTTCAATACATGCCAGAAAATTTGTCAGATTGAAATGTCATGGTGAGGATCACTCGAAGTACAGTAAAGTATTGTTCCAAGGTTATCTTAAATTATCCCTGGGGGCCTACCAGCTCACTTGTAGAACCACCTACCGGCTTGGTCTGAGCGTCTTGTCAGTGATCACGCACGTTCGGATCTCATTTCGATAATGCTCAAAGAAGTCCTCGGCTGTGACACAAAGTCCTTGTCAAACTGAAGTCATAATGGTCTAACGAAAAAAGAACCGCGACCAACTCTCCCCCACTAGTCCCCACACCCATCCTGCAATTCTGCCTCTCTGCAAAATCAAAAAGTGGCTTAGTACCAAAGATCCATGTCCACATGGGCTGAAGCGCCTGCTATGAAGCTCCTGGAACCCGGTCGATGTTTCTTGTCATACTTCACCATCTCGCGCAAGCCTTGTGTCATATTCGTCGCTGCCTTGCTACCCAGCAGGGCGAGTTGGGTTTCGGTTTCGGCACACTCATGCGTCGACCAAAAGCCGTCCTTGTTCAGGTCCAACTTCTCTGGAAAGAGTGAAAGGGTTATTCTTTGCTGGAGGCAGTCAAAGTCAAAAGCATTGGAGTGATTGGAGACAAGGTGAGGTGGATAGAGCAGCCCCACATACTCCTGATGCTGTGAGACTCTCCAACAGGTGCCATCCATCAAGTCATCACCGATCTCTCCATAGGTTTGATACCCGGTCACATGAATCTGGACGCTGATGAGAAGTTGCAAGGCAGCGTTCACCACCAAGAAGATACCTGGCTGCGATTCACCATCTCCAGACTTTACTTGGAATATCTTGAAATGTTATGCTAGCGTTCACCACCAAGTACTTCTAGATCAGAACAACATGAAATGCTAGCCAAATGGCCGCCATCATTGGACTATGGTCGATTTGTCATCATTGCTCTCTCCTTCCTATTGTGAAAGCATGATAGTGCTCAAAATCCATCTATATTTGGGAGACTTTCGTGCAAGAATCTTCTGCCAAGACGCCCACCAAAATGTAATCCTGGAGCAATGGCCCAGTGTGATCACGCTGGTGGATAATTCGCTCTCCTCTATAGTACAAAGGCGCGAACAGTGCGTCCTTGCCGGAGCGAAATCTCCACCAGAAGGTGGAGAATGCACATACATTATTGTTGTTTTAAACCACCACCACCACCCCGCAAAAACAAACTATATAATGTGTCCAGTTGCTTTTGGCAGAGGTGATGAACAAATGACATGCATTAGTTTTGGCAGATGAGACAAATGGGACGCACTACCTTTGGCAGAAACACATGATACAGTGATACAGATGAGATACATGAAGCCACGGGTTGGTGAAGGGTTGTGGAAAAGCACATGAACACATGATACATAATACATGATACAAAGATGAGTTTTGCAAAGACGAGCAAGTCCATCTTTTCCAGACTGCAGACGCGTTACATGACTGTTGCCATCGCCCACCGACAAAGATTAGGGAAGCCGACCCTAGGTCAGCATTCCGGGCCAGTACTGTTACTGTTCCGATAGAATGGATGTCTTCAGGGCAACCCTTTACGGTTGCAAAAAAGAACTCGAATATCTTGTGTATATAATTTACAAAAATATTATAGTCAAAGAAATCAAAACACTGCAAGTACCGGCAGAAATTTTAAGAGGGTTGAATTTTTGCGGTAAACAATGAGCTGAACTCAAACAAGAAAAGGCAGGCGATAGGAGTTGTTTGTCACCCATTGCACGAGAGTGATTCCACAACCAACTGCTTCTCAGAATTAGTAAAATCCCAACATCCTTCGTCGACGTTTTCGTCTGACCCCGTCCACATAAATGTCAGGATCTTGAGGATCCACTTCTCTGATGCGTGCTTGTTCCAAGCCCAGAACGCCACGATTGGGCTCTGCCGATGAGGCGCCAGCCTCGCGGAGCGACGCTGTGCCGATGAGTTCCTCCGCCGATGAGGTGATGCAGCTGTGGCATTCGGAGAGGCCCTGACAGCAGGTGGAAGAGTCAGAGAGTCGAAGAGTCGAGCTGCTGGAGTTGGAGCGGAGAAAGAGATTATATGAGAGTCAAAGAGGGGGTCTGACTCTGCTGTTTGGGTGCATCACTATTTCCAGATCAAGATGATCAAGAACCTGTCAAAAGTCTACAGGATTTTCAGCAGAACACCATCCTCAGTCCCTTGTGCCGCAATTGTTTCATCTTGTGATTGGATTTCACTGACCTATGCCTTGGCGTTCTTCCATCGCCGGACCGGCCACATCCAGTTCGGGGACAGTTCCGGGGTTCATCGAATCCAGGGGGCCCCGTGGTGAAGGACTCCCCTCGCACCGCATGAGACCTGAACTCACTGGTCCCAAATGGGTCGACGAACAGCTCTGGTTTCTCCGCTTTGCCAAGGTTCCCGCCTGTGGCAACCTACACTGCTGTGGCATGGCGGCGCCTGCGCCTGTGCCTAAAACTGGGCCTAACTAAAACGCTCCAAGGCGTGGCCGCGCAAGAGAAGACTTCACACAACGGAAAGGTACCACCTGCCATCACCTGCCTCCATGTGTCACCACGTCCCAAAGGAAGTCACAAGAAGCAACGAGAACCTGTCTGAACCACCTTGTTTGGACCTCACCTCACCATCTTATAATGTATTGGCTGGTTGTTTCAAGGCAGTCTTAATGCACTTGATTTCGTTGTGGCAACATAGTTGACATGGTGCTGTGGCGGGTTGTATAGATGCTGCTTGTGCATGTCGGTCTTGAAGCACATACATGTCAAAGCTTGCATTAAGGCCTATCCTGTTTTCAATCGACCTTTAATACCTTCGTCTGTACCTATATATCTATACCTTCTACATCTTCAGGGTGAATTTCGCGCAAGCGTCACAGAGACATGATTTGGAGGCAACTCACAGTGCACAGAAGAATCCGCACAGAGCTGGTTGTGCCATCTACTCTGAAACAACTGTAAACACCAACAACCATCAAGGGCAGCGCACCAGCAACTAGCAAATGAAAACGAGTCGCAGCCTTCCAAATTGCCTCCCCACACCCTCCCACCAGCAAACCACGCAAAACCACGGCAGGCCGACATCCAAAGAGACCTTATCAATCCTTATCATCCAAACCCTGTACCACATGCCAAGTGTCACCCAGAACCACGCGCCGTTGAGTTTTTCTGCTACTGAACACCTGCCACCGCTAGTCGCAGCGACCGAAGCTGCCACCGCTCGTTTTGGCGTCCCATGGCGATCTCCTGAGCCATGGCGATCATCGACTCATGCTCATCCCAGGACCTCACGTTCGCCCACCGGCCGGGCACACGGCGGAAGAGAGCGGAAGTGAACACGTGTGGACGATTGATTCAATGAACCTGAGTGACATCATTCTGCCAGAATGGTTTTACATCTTTCATTGGAATGAGTGAACATGAGTGACTCGTTTCATGGGAATCTTCGATCGAAAACTCCAGGCGCCAGGCCGGCGCTTACCGGCGCTTACCGGCGCCGACGAGGCAAATGTCCTCTGAGCACAGCGCTTCTCCGGATCGCTTAGGACAAACTGCTCAATCTTCTCAAACTGGTGCACTCGAAAAATGCCGCGAATATCTCGACCTGATCTGCGCAGGATGCCGCTCTCACCGCTCCGTCGGTGACGTGGAGGGGGACCACCAGCTGGGTCTGGTCTTTGAGATGCCATCCCTTCGGAACCAGTCCATCCCATCCACGATATGTCATGGATCTCAAGGAGTGGCCGGCAACGACAACGACAGGCTTCCGGTTTGGGGGGGGCGAGGATGGATGCTCGGATGCTCAAGCCTGGCTGCCTCGAACTCGTTTCGGTCCAGTTCCGGAACATCGGGGTTCAAGACAAAGACCAAGACAAAGACCGGGTTGAGACCAGTTTAATATAACTGTGGGTTAATTATAACATGTTCCGGAACTTCAAACATTGTCTTTAATTGATGTTAAGTTGTAATTTTCAAACATGGTCTTGCACTCCTAGGGTGTATAATGTGTATAATGTGTCTATCTCTCCATGAAGTGGAGATTGAGATGAGTGGCTTGCTCCACCAAAAAAATCAATAAGGGTTCTGTGTATCTACTCTAGAGGTATTAAACATGGAACTCAAAAATTGTTTGGATATGCTTTCCACTGTTTGTTAAAAAGTGTGACGGTAATAAACATAGAAGTAAACCTGTGCTGAAGCATGACCAGATTAGGATGACCATGACGCGCTTCCATGTTGAATAGCATGGCTCAAAGACGAGAGGCATTCAAGTAGAAGAGTACTAATAGGATTGCATATTATAGAATGTATACAAAAAACATATATTAACTAATGTAACTAATGTATATAAACAAAACTTATGTATGTTACCCCCCAAAGAATACAACTTTCATAGTATTGCTGGCAGTGCCATTTCAAAAAAACTGGTGAGGGCTTGGATTGGATTGAAAACCTCCAATCAGAGCACTCCCACATGTGAAGCAAGAGGTGGGAGAAAAAAAGAAAGAGTGGCAGTTTGCTGTAGGGAATTCCCAGAATTTTCACCAGTAAAACATAGTACAATCCTGTCGAATAAACATGCAAGATATCCACAGGTGAAGCTAGGACCAAGTAGAAACTGGATAACGCAGAAGTGCGTCGCACTTCTTGAAATTTCAATGTTTAATATATCCAGCTTTTTACCCTACCATTCGCCGTGACCAACCATGACGCACTTCCATGTTCCCCATTGCCTCCCCTGTCACTACTCTTACCATCTTTCAATTCCATTTCCTTAACTTGACGATACTACATCAAGCAATGCATGAAAAAATGTGTCCATCTACGGCCCAAGCTTTAACCTTGCTTAATCAGGCGCACCAAACAAAGCCAGATCCGGATCCTGATGCTTGGACATGCGCCTAGCTCCTTAGCTCACCAACCCGCCAAATCCGGCGGAAATCCTCCGGGCGTCCCGGCCGCTGCTGCCTGCTTCACGTCGAAAGCACGACGAAAGGCCCACGTAGCGCAGCGGGAAGCGCGTCTGAGAGCAGAGAGGAGCACAGAGCAGAGGGGGCATGGAGATGGGACTGAGGACGGGTGAAAGCGAAGCGCGGAGTCGTTCCAGAGTTGAAATTGACTCGAGAGGATTTCGAGAAGATCTAAGTTTCATGGTGTCTCTAAAGATACATGTAATACATGGCCTACTATGACAAGGAGTTACTTTCATTCCAAAACATGAAATCACGCGTCCGCGAAGACCAACATGTGGCAAACAATCCGTCCTTGTCAATATTCTGCCCCCTGTGGAAAGCAGAGATTGGCTGCTCCTGCCAAAAAGCAAGTTTGATCGATCTGAGGCTGGAAGATAGATTCGAGCCACTATTCGAGCCAACTCCACCAAAGATATCCAAGCAGTACTTGATCCTATAAATATATATATATATATATACCCAGAAGTCAAAAAGATCCCAAAAGCGCAAAAAGCTGCAGGCAGGCTTTTTCCATGAGCTTTGGTTGATGCTGGGGTCCTCCCCCAGACCCTGTACCGTTTGATCCATTTCAAACTGCCCTGGACTTCGCCAGGGGGGACAAGGGTGTGTCAGGCAGTAGGATTCGCCCGTCTCTGCCGCAACACCCGAATGTCCCCTGGCCTCCCAGGGCCAACAGGCACCTGTCGAGGTGGCAGGGGACAGGGTCGGGAGGACAGCCCACCGGATCCGGTCACGGGATCTTGGGTGGGCAGCTAGGAAAAGCCGGTTGAGGACAAAAGTTTTGAAACAAAAGGAAAAATGAAGAGAGTCTCCGGTGCCGGTAGCCGGCGATCTAAGGAGAATCCTTCAAAATCAGGATGAGTCAATTCATCCGCCCAGGTGTTGAATTCCCGGGGGATGTGATTGGGAGCGATGCTACAGCCCTCACAATGGAGGAAGAGAACCAATTCCATGAGCAGTGCCGCGGAGTATGGTTTCTTGGCCGAGAGGTTGAGCAGGCTGAAGATGTTGCCTGAGTTGTCGCTGCCCACCGGGAGGCGAACTCTTCCCGGCATTTGGCCCTGTTGGGCCACCAGGTGCTTGCAAAGGAGCAGTGTGCCCAGGAGCTCCAGGGCAGCGATGCGTTTCTGAGGGTTGCCATCCTTGAAGGCCCAAGGGTGGTCGTCCGCTGTAATAGCATAGTGGAACCATAGGACCTGGTCCTTGGTGGGGTTTGGGGAGGTCGAGCACCAACCCCCAACATAGGCTTCACCTGTTTTGGATGCACTAGCATCACTGCATCCCCACCAAGGCGACTTCGGCAGGAAAGGTGAGTACTGTTCAAAGGGGTGCGTGAAGAGCTCCCTCAGGAGGGCGGCCAGCATTCGGACCACCTTTGGTGGGTGGCCCATAGTTTTGACCGCCATCTTCCAAGCCCAGAGTGGCTGGAGTAGGGACTTGGTCAGAGGACAGCACGCCGTGGCCCATTGGATCCGTCCCATGGCCTTCTCAATGGCCTTGGCTGACATGGGGGATCCATTGGCGAGTTCTTCCAGGAGCTCCATGACCTTGATGTGCTTGGGTGCCGCCATCTGGACTCGAGGAATGGACGGGTGGATCACGAACCCAAGCCATGTATTGATCTCTGCCAAATGGGTCTTCTTCCAGCTAAGGGGCGTGCCCAAAGCCACCAACGTACCCAAGAGGGCCGCAGTGAATTGCGGTCCTGTGGGCAGGCGAAGGAGCCAACAAAAATCATCAACGAAGACAAAACCCCAGTCAATCTGAGGGAAGAGGTAGTAGAGGATCCGCAGGAGCAAGGCCGCCATTCTGCCCCAATAGAGCTGAGCACTTGCCATGCCGTAGGTGCCCACCTTGTTGACCCACCATTCGTCGTCCAGCTGTGCGACCTGGAAACGCCAGTCCTGGGGCAAGACTTTGATCCGTCGGTGGGCCTTAGTGACGTCAGCTTTCAGCAAGATCCATTGGCTGTCCTTGGTGGGCCACTCCCAGACGGGGAGTGAGTCGTCCAGGCCCCCTGCTCGCTCAGGGCCAGAGGCTCCTGGGCTAAGCCGGGGGCGTGTGGAAGCCTCAGTATGTCTTGCGGCGTGGAGCCAGTGGATAGCATGGACACAGTCCAGGACTGTGGGTGCTGTGGTCCGCTCCTTAGTGTTTTGTTGGATCTTGGCATTGGCGCCTCCCACCGATCCATCGTAGATTGTACGGACCTTGTCCCCTTCATCGATCCCTGCCAGGGGACCTGGGCAGAGGGCTGTCGGGTCGCAGCCGCAGAGATCGGCCGCCTGTTGTTTGGACAGCGGGCCAACTGTCATGCCCATTGGGACTTCCTCCTCAAAGGTGGCCCGGATTTCTCTGGAAAAGTCTGCAGCCGAGGGGTAATTGTGGTGCCCCTTGGGGTCGTCCAGTGGAGCTTCAACTGGGTCTTCCCCTGCAAGCTCACTCTTGAGGGGCCACACTCCCGGTGAGGGGAGGGTGGGATCCGAGACCCCCAGGGGAACGCCTGTGGTGAGAATCTGAGGGTACTGCCAGTCTGGGTCCCCGGCCGTACTGGCCAATTGTGAGATCAGCCCCAAGTAGAAAGGTTGTCCGTCTGGTGGGGTGTGGTGGTGGCCAGGGTGGAGGATCTGCCTGATGTCCTCCAGCAGCGGGTCTGGGTAGGGGTGTTGTTTTGACCCGCACGTGATCGACCACATGACTTGGTCAGTGAATGGAGTGGTCAACGCCAGGATCTTGGTTCCGAAACGGGCCAGCGTAGATGCCGGCCGAGCCCAGGGAGCCATCCGGCCCCAGGAGGGTTTGCCTCCCCCGTCCCGCAGTGGTCTGGTCTTGAATGCCACCTGAAGGCGCATCAGAGGGTCGTGTAGTGAGAGATCCTCGGAGATCGGATCATATTTGGGACAGTCGGACCAAATTGTACTGGTGTGCCAAGTGTCCCCTGCCGTGGAATGGGAGGGGACTGCATGGGCGGCGGTGCTGCCCTGGGTAAGGCCTGCGATAGCACGGGCTGCTTTGTTGGCACGGGATGGAGTTGTGTCCTTCGCGCCCTCCTCTCTAGACCTCTTGGGAGGAGGGGATTGGTCCGCAGCCCCGGAGGGTTGGTGGGTGGGTTTGGGTGGAACCTGGAGGACCTTGGCGATGGCCTGAGCCAAGCCGAGCATCATCTGGTCTGGGTAACGGCTAAGGTCGCTGGACTGGAGGTCCCCCAGAGGTTGGTGCCCAAGGTGGTTGCAGCGGAGGTCCTGCCAATGGTGCAATGGAAGATCTGTCGACAGGGTAGTTGCCTTGATCACCATCTGACCTAGTCTGCACTGATCAAACTTCATGCGGTGATGGTGCAACTGGTTGGCCCACTTGATATAGGCGCGGGTCACCCACAGGGATGAGCACTTGTGTGCCTGGGGGCTGGCGCTGACCTCCATGGGGTCCCTGGGGTGCTCCAGAAAGGAGTATCCCACCCTTGGTGGGTGGTACTGGGCCAAGCCTTGGTAAGCCAGTGAGGTGAGGTACATCTGGCGGAGCACCAACATGCTGTCATTGTCCGTGTCAAGCTGTTCCTCTGCCGTGTTGGCTGGGAGGCCCCATACTTGTTGCTTGCTGCGCCCCCGCACTGGCCTCGGGGCGTTGGGCTTGGGGAACCAGCGAAGAATGCTCCAGGTGCGGCAGTTTGGGCCGCCCCCCACAAATAACAGTAGCCCCGCAGTCGCAAGGGAGCACAGGTGGTTCCAAAGTGGAGCCTGGAGCATATCCTGGCCAAGGGGCCCCTTGTCTCTTCGAATGTCAATCGCCCAAACCAGCGGTGAGAGGTCTGGGCACGTGGCATGGAGGTAGGAGTCCAACGAGCCCGCATCATCCTTGCCGGCATAGAGAAGGAGAATGGTTGGTTTCGCCTCTGGTGGAAGTGGGACCCGTGTCCAGTGGAGGCGCCGCCGTAGTCTGTCCGGGATGTTTGTCATCCATGTGAAGGACGGTTCAACCTGAGGGGTGGTGCTCTGAGTCCCCGACAGGTGCCCAGCCGGTCCCGGGCGAGATGCCATATCGCCGGTGGGCCTAGAGGCGGCCTCAGTGTGGATAGGTGACTCTGGAGGATGCCTTGGTGGGGGCATCTGGATCTGGTGTTCTCGTAGGGGTTTGCCCGGTCCCCCCGCAGCGGGTCGAGACTTTGGTGCGCCGGGAGGTGGTGTAGGAGGTACAGGGCCCAAGGCGCCTGGACCATTCCTAACCTCCCACTGGGAGGCCACTTGCGGTACCTCGGAGGACGCAGGTGGAGCAGGGCCACAGGCACCTGGACCAACCTGGCGTCACTTGGTGGCATGGGGGCATTCATCGGGGGTGTGCTTGTCTGGGGACGCGTTGCACACCCAACCCCCTTGGCGGACCGGGCAATTGTGGGATCGGCCGCAGCTGCCCGGGCAGGTGCCGGTCAAGTGATAGTCTCGGCAGAAGGCTTTCCCTTTTGGGTCCTTGAATGCCCAGGCGTCCGGCCACTGGCCCTTGCCTTTGCCCTTCGGGGTCTTTCCTTTGCCCCCCTTCGGTGCTGGTCTTGCCCCCTTGCGGCCACGATCTTTGCCGCCTTTGGACGACTTGTCCCATTGGGTCTGCCAGACCGGGGTCCAGGACTTGCCTCTGGTCTTGCACAGCCCCTTTGTTGTCGTGCGGGGGGCACTGTTGCAGTACTCATACACCTCCCTCTGCCCCCGCTCCAGCTTGTGTTTGAGGTCCTCCGGCCAGGCCGAGATCTCCGTGGGGGTGAGGGCAAACTTTTCCATGAAAGCGGTGCCCTGGTCTTGGATCTTTTTGTTGGCCTCTTTGGCCTTCTCCAGAGAGGTGGCAGCGGCCTTGAGGGAATCCTCTGCGCTGCCCGTGGCCTCCTCTAGCATCCGCTTCTTCAGCGCCGCTTTGAAGTCCATGAGGTTGACCTTCCGCAGGAGGTTGGAGCCAGCGTTCCGCACCTGGCTGTCAGGGATCGACTGCATGCCCTAGGAGGGATTGGCGCCAAGACCGCGGCCTGCAGCTGAGACACCTGATCGGCGTTCTCCTGTCGCTCCGCCTCCTCCGCTTGGGCGCGCTCCGCCTTGAGGTCTGCTGAAGCAAGGCCCTGGAGGGCCTCGGACTGAATGCGGAGGGCCTTGGCCGCCTCCGGGTGGAAGATCTGAAAGGACTGCGAAGGCTGCTGCTCCGTCAGCCGTCGACGGTGGGCCTCCGTGGTCTCTGCTGCATCGTCCTCGTAGTCTGCCGACAAAATCTCCTGCCGGATGTGGACCCGGCAGACTGAAGGGACCTCATCCGCAAAGGTCCGCTCTTCCTCAGTGCACGTGGCCGCCGGGGCCTGGGCAAACTGGCTCCCATCAATGGAGTGTGACAGCTTGAAGTGCCTCTCCGCGTCAGGGTCCACGCTAGTCGCCTCAGGGCCCAGGGCACCTGGGGTAGACTGGACCGGAGCAGCTCGTCGCCAGACTGGCCTGCCAGCCTCGTAGAGCAAGGTCCAGGTCTCAGTCCCCACCTCCATGATGGATGTAGGCCGCTGGTACTCGATCGCTTGGTCATGCTTGCAGGTCCAGCACCGGGTGGCGTTGTCCGGCCAGGGCGTCAGGCATTTGCCGCACATGGAGTGGAAGGGCATGTCGCCTGCAGGCAAGTGGAGGCCCTTCTGGTCGGTCAGGCCGGACTTGTCGGTGGCCTTCTGATACCGCTGGGTCCAGATCTTTTCCTGCATGGCCATCGCCCGCAGGGGGAGGTATTGCTCAATGATGCGGGTGACCACCGGTGTTGACAAGGGGTAGCCGGTCAACTGGTCGAAGAGCTGGACCATCTCCTTCTCGGAGCAAGATGTGAGAAGCCCCGCCAAGTGGCCCGGAATGGGCGGGAAAGAGTCCGGTAACATCGCGAACCGGACATGGTTCTCCGGTTCCGTCACCGGGAGGAACCTGATGGGCATGGCTATCGCGCCCAGTGTGGCTGAAGAGGCCCTGGTAAAACCCGGTAGGGTAGGCGTCTTGGATGTGGGCTCTTCCATAGAATGCGGAGCCGGCCTCTTGGTAGGTCTCGGAGGTTCTGGTGCCTGTGCCCTCGCCAGGGGCGTCAACGGCAAAGCAGCAGCCGCCATGGCATCTACCGGGTCACTAACAGGGGGTGTGAGACCTAAGCCCGGGCGCTCAGTGGTGTCCTCCTCCATCTGGTTGTCCGATGCCGCAGGGCGTGGCTCCGCTGCAACAGGCCAAGCCAAAGGGGGTTCCGCCATGGCCGTCAGCATAGAAGGCTGGGCCGCTGCCGCGGATCGTGTAGTAGGGCTCGTCGACGGGGCCACCACAGCAGCAGGAGCCACCCCCTCCGCCGCTGGGCCAGGGGCACCAGGAGCAGAAGGGGGTGGGCAAGCGCCGTCATCCGCCTGGCTCTCCAGGCCCAGGAGGTCCACCCCCATGTCCGCGTCCTCGCGCTCTGCAATCTGGAGCTTGAGAGCCTCCAGGTGGCGCTCCAATTCTCTAATCTTCGCCTGAGCATCCAGCTCAGAAACCAAAACAGGCTGGCCAAACACGGCTAAGCCTCTCGCTCCTTCCGCCTCCGCATGACGGAGGGCTGTGGATGCTGCGTCCGCAGCCGCGTCTAGGCTCTCCATGCCTGGGCTGCTGATTGTGGTGCCATCCTCGACGTCCGGCTGGGCATCTCGCACGGACTCGATCATGACATATTCCGGTTCCATTGGGTGCGCCATTGCGTCGTCGTCAAAAATCACCAATGTACTAGGGAGTGTCCAAGGAAGTTTTCTTCCCAACCTTCAGGTGCAATCCTGCGTGCGATTGCTACCCACTTGAGCCAAAATGTCCCGGTGGGACATTTTGTGAACTTCAGTGAACATAAAACTTGCATCCGCAAGCTCCCTGCAAGTGTGAATATATATGCCCCAATCATGGCTCCACTCCAACTTGGCGAAAACACATAGCAATCCCTGTTCCTCCTCAATCATTTCTTGCAGAATTGCAGCACAACATGGCCACAAGCACCACAGGCTCTACAGCCATGCCCCCCAAGCACTCTGTTGACATGAAAGAACATCAGACGGGAATCTCAAAAAGAACACATCAGCTTTGTTCTCCTTCACCGTCTTCACCCTATCTCCGTACGTCTATCCTCGATCCTCGGCCTTCGACCGCCCGACGGCGTGGGTCGCTTCGCCGCCCGGACGGTGGCGGTCCGAGGTGGCAATGAGGTACTTGTCCAACTCGGGATGCTCCTAGGGTTCGAAGCGCCAGCGTTTTCTGTGGACGATGTAAAAACACCGCTGGCGGAAAAACAAAGAAAACAAACACGCGCGCGGAAGCACACAGAAAGGGTCCGAGGTCACAAGCTGTGAGGTCACTCAAATGCTGCAATTGTTAACAACAATGTTCTCGCTATTGACGATCTCAAATGCATCTTCAGAGCTGTTGCTCTGTTGTGTTGCTAGTGTTCCATATAGTGTTCCCAGACACAACGCATGGGACTGGCATATTTATGCATTGTTTGAGATGATTTTTGGGGGCAGGATCTCTGTTTTTCTATTTGTATTCATCAGGGAACCCGAATCTCTTAATTCGCGATTTGATTAATTACGAAGTGAAGGGATACTTCTGCATATATTGTCTCCCTGTCCTTGTCTTCGATGACCTTGTAGAGGACATCATCGTAGTCAGCCTCAAAGAATTGTCTCAAGTCGAAAAGAAGAAGCTTCAAGAGTTGGAGGATGGGTTAACAACTAACATATATATATATATATGGGTTTGCAGCTGCATATCAACTGTTTAAAGTGCAAATAATAGGGAGGGGTTGACTGGTCTGTTTTCTTCCATTCCAGGGGATCGAACTGGCAGGTCTTCCTATTTTAATGCACAATATGACAATATGGAGATCTTCATCATGAGTTGTTTGGTCATCCTCAGTACAACTTCGGTCTGAAACCTAGTCGACTTCTCATCAGTTGACGACTTCTCAGCGCACCTCCGATTTGAGGCTTTGAAAGATAGAAGCTTTCATAAGCTTTCATTCAGTTCGCATAAATGCACCGAAAAACTTCAGTAGCGCCTCCACTTCAAATGACAAGCCCCCTCCACTTCAAGATTTCATCCTCCCTCTTCTTCTTCTTCTTCTTCTTCTTCATCTCTCTTCTTTTCCGGCAGAAACAAACACACCCACCGCCGAGTCTGGACCGGAACGGAGCCGCCGAGCGTTCGGACCAACTCAGCGGTTCGCGCCATCAGGTCCTCGCGACGGCGCACGGCCAGCGGTTCGCGCACGACGTTTTGGGTCGGGACGTCCAGACGTGAAGGTCGGGGGTCTCAGTACTGGAACCAAAAGGGGACGTCCATGTGGGGTGAACTGCTCATGTGAAGTCAAGGTCTGTTCTGGGGTAGTCCTTGATCATCAATCAGTCTGCGGAGCTACACATGCTACAGTAGCCTTTGGTGATCTTTGGTGGAAAACGCTGTGAGTAGTGGCATGTTCATCCAGCATGCATGCTCAGAACTCACATGGCGAAGCGAGTCAAAACCACTTCTCCTTCTTCATGAAGAACGGAGGCTGCCTGGGCACAATATCTGGGTGCATGCAGCCTGGGGAGATCCCACAAGAGATCCCTCAAATTGCCTACGAAGAGCAATAGGGCATGATTCTATGCTAGGAGTTGTGGCTCGCCATATTTTTAATTTGCTTGTATCAAACAACCATTTTACGTAAACTATAAGGATCTATATATTCTTACATTCCAAAACCAGGTCTTTCCCATGCTTACAAATGGTAAGGCTAGGTGACTAGGGCGGGCGAATCAGTTATAGCGCTGTCATTGACATCGTCTGTGGGTCTCAAATCCGGCTGAGCAACAATGGAGTGTAGCCACGCTGTGAGAGGAAGGCAATGCCTCGGCCGGTACGCCACGGCATGGCTCGCCCCGGTCGTGTACGACTGGGTGCGTGGTCGCGTCGTGTCCAGACTCGCAAAATGACACTGAAGCTCTGAACCTGCTCGGTCCTTGCGTTGTTATTCGCATGATGCCAAAAAGAAGAACCAAGGCGAAAAACTGGTCTTCTTCGTTTGCTTCTTCGATTCGTTATGCTCCACCAATGCCATTCATTCATTAGGCTTCGGCCATAATTGATCAGTGCCTGGTTCAGCAGCACCCCCGGCCCCGTCAAAAAGTAGCCGCGATGCCCGGCAACCTGAGATGAGACAGGCGAAAACCACCGGGCTCCGATGGCCCTCCCGCTCTTTTTGGAGTCGATTTGGCCACTGTGGTGCTCACGGGGTGGGGATCCTTCGCGGGGTGCGCGCCGCTCCGTCCGCCGGCGCTCCGTCCCGCGCCTCGTTGCCGGCGTCGAACTCCACCGCGCCGATCATCTCCAGCAGTTCGAAGTGCGGACGAAAGCCGTTCGCCTCCGCGTTAAAGGCGGTGCGCAGTGGGCGCGGGGGCGGAACCGGCGACCCGTTCTCAGCACAGACGCTTTTTGAAGCACCACATGGCGGGAGGGGAAGGTAGGGTGGGTAGGTGGGTGGGTGAGTGGGCGCGAAGCACCTTCGAGATTTTGGAAGCAAACTGGGAAGGAACTCGTCGAATAGGATTGATCATTAGACTGAGGTGCATATCACATGCTTCTGAAGAGATCCACGGCGACTGCTATTCTGCTATAGCAAATAATCTATGCAGGTCTATGCATATTGACCGACAGCATCGTTGAGTGAAAGGGTACCTAAATGGATTCTGCATGTCTATTCTTCCTGCCTTTTCACTTCAAAAACCAACCAAAAGGCAGCATGGTTAAAAAATGTGCTTAAAAGATCACAGCGAGACCCCCAATCAACGGATTTTGAGGATGATTTCGGTCGATGTCTTTTCCCCGAAGGGCCCCCCGCCGCGACCCCACGAACCCCACGAACGCCACGCCACTGCTTTCCTCGGTCGCCCGAACGGCACGAGACGGAGCGACCGCCTGGTAGGTCTTGCCGCCAAAGCTACGAGGAACGCCCCAGGTAGCAACGACCTGCGCCGAGTGGATTTCTGCGGGTTGATGAGTGCAGATTTCTGGCCTTGTAGGTGGGCTCTCCAATTTGTACATCCAAGCAAGAAAACACCCTATCGCCCTAGCCTCAGCTCAGCGAACCTCAAACCTCTTGTCTGCTCGCTTTCTTTTTTCTTGCCTTTCGGGACGATGGACACCGCACCTTGTTGTCCTTATCCTCATCTTGAGAAACGGGAACGCTATCATGGACCTCAGCGAATCGCACCGTCGCAGTGAACAACGACGGGGCGACACCAGCAGGACTCCGGGCGCCTGCCGAACGAGTTGTTCAGAGACACTCCGGACGTCCGGACGGCCGAACTCGCGGACACTTGGACTGGATCGGTCCGTGGCTTGGCCTGAATCGGTGGTCTGTCAGAAAACTGGTCAGTCCCAAAGGGATCGATCTGGATCTGGGAGTGTGTTCTATCCGAGAAAAGTCTTCCGTTCCTGAAAGGCCGAACTGAATGCGATTTTGGATGATTTACATTTAAAAAAAAACCGTGGGGAAACAAAACGAATAGAAGAAGGCACAGCAACATTCCAATCAATACAAGGGCGTGGTGACTTCATCTTTAGGCAGCTGTGAATTCATCTCTAGGCAGTCGCGGTTTCCTTCTACACCACAAATAACCCTAACAAACATCCAAAACATTCCAAACAACTGGGCATGAATTTGAAGATCCTTCTATAAGAAAATGATGGAAATTTGGGTGAACAGAGGGTCCAGTCATACCTTGCGGGGAGCTACGACTAGAGACCTGCAATTGGTGAATGGACACCCCGAATTCTCTGGCCCACCGGGCTGTCCATCGAAACCCCAACCCACCGTCGACCGTCCAGTCGTTGACTGGTAACGCCGCCATCCTGGGATCTCCTGGCCATGTTGCCGATCGAGCCCAAAAGCTTGTCCTCGGTGTTAAACCGGAAGAAGAACGTCTTCTGAACGCTCGGTTTGGGAGCAAAGGAGTGGTCCCAGGAGATGACGATGACGATGACACAAATGACATGACAGGCATCGAAGAGCTCCATCTGAAGGTCTGCTTGGATCTTGTGATGGAAGGAGCTCTTCATCGTTCACAGGCACCGGAAGGGTACTCTTTCTAAAGCCCGCTCCTACTTAATTATACTTAATAAAGTGGGCACCTACTTGTATATTGTACTTGCCCGGCGGTTGGTTAGCTTCGACTTATAACCTAGGTTATAAGTAGTCCTAACCTACTTATAACCTTTGCTTTAAGTCTACTAACCTCTATAAGGGTTAGCTTCGACTTAGCTTTAAGTTAGCTAAGCCAATAGGAGTTAGTAGGTACTTAGGTCTGACTTAGCTAAGTCACAGCTAAGTAAGCTAAGTCTAAGTTGGACTTACCTGTCACTTACAAGTGACTTATAAGTCGAAGCTAAGTCAAAGCTAAGTCCAAACTAAGTCCAAGGTATAAACTGAACATAACGTTTGAAACCAATGATTTAATGGCTTTTGTGTATACTATTTTGACCTTTTGTGTCTATATTGCGGCTATGCCGAATTAAAGTATGTCAGTTCATTATTTATACATAGTTGTTTAAAAACAATATTCAATAGATACATATGTTTGTTTGATGACTATTATTCTTAATTGTTGCACTTTCTTGAGTTTATATATTCGTTTCATTACCTTAATATCTTAATAGTTTTTGTTTAAAATACATTCAAGGTTTATTGTAAAAAGGTTAACATACTTCAGGTATGCCTCAATCACAAAATGATAACTTATAAGTATTGTATATATATATATATTAAATATATATTTTTATGTTTTTAACCTATCAACAACAAATATGTAAAAACAGAATGTTCATGTGATTGATATGTACATCACTATTGATCTCTAATTAGTAATCTATATTCTTTGTATTATTGCTTAACTATATGTTTATTGAAATTAGAAATAATGTTATCGTTAACGTATTGACTATTTAAGGTAACAATATGATAACAAACAGTCATAAATATGTTATGACAGGTTATGACAATCAATACTTTAGCTATCATAAATTTTATTGCAAGATTTAATTGGAAAAGTAAACGTCGTAGAGATGTTGTCAAATTTTAAAACACACACTATGACATATTGTCATGAACAAATATGACACATTTTGACAGGTGATTATCATCTATATTTATCGTAAAAAAGATTTAGTATATATAAAGTCTAATGAACAAAATATTTAATATATATATATAGTTGATGTATGTGCATTATTTTATGTAAATCTGTTTTTGATATATTATATCAATAATGATACGTTTATTTTATGTATATTTTCTGTTTACAGCGTTGCCGTTTTTTGTTTGACTAGTACTTACCTTGCAGGCATTTGTGCAGCTGGACTCAAATTTGACATATTTTACTTATGTCACAAGCTCAGCCATAACTTTTGAAACCAATTAAATAATTAAAGCATAAGTATCATCGCGGCAAGTGAAAAAGGAGCTACATCCCTGACATCTGTTCAGTGTGGATTGCAGTTGTGTGTCGTGGTTTTGCTGGCGGCCAAGCCGCGCCAACTTTTTGTATAATATATTTTTTTAAACAAACTTATTCAAAAAGTAAAAGGATTTAGCTTGGAATGACAATTGACTTAGCTTGGACTTAGCCTGGACTTATAAGTCCAAGCTAAGTCCAAGCTAAGTGGAAGCTAAGTTGGACTTAGCTAAGTCAAAGCTAAATACTTACTAAGTACTTATAACTCCAAGCTAGACTTAGCTCAGCTTAGCTAACCAACCGCCGGGCAAGTATATATATATATATATATACTGTCAGGGCCCATGGCCTTGAAGCTTCAAAGGTTTCCTTTATGGGGGCCAGAAAGCAGTCCATGTATCAGACGGTTGCCGTCTGAGCTTGCAATGGTGTCTGCAGCGTTTTGGCTGCAACAAAAGTAAGAATTCCGATCGTGCACTGGTTCAGCTACCTTTTTTCCTTGTCCGATGATGCAGCAGCTGCCACTCCAGCTGTTCCTGTGCCATCTAGCGCTGTGCGGGTGCCGGGACCAGACCAATTGCCACAATTACGAGCTGCAAGGGCAGTGCTGAAGCAGCAGTTGAAAGAATCTACAATTCGCAAAGAGGTTCGCCGCAGATCCCGTCTCACGAAAAAGGCCGCTGGATTATCCATGTCTGATTTGGCTTGGCTCTTGACTCGCCGTGCCACGACTGCAGAGTGAGCTAGGGTTGGAGCAGCGAGCAGTACCAAAGATACCAAAGCATGAGGGGTAAAAGTCTCAGACCATTTGGTGAGCGACGGTCTGAGCAGCATGTAGCACCTAAGGTGCCGCTGCATGAAGCGTCAAAGTTTCGGACAAGTTGCCTGCAATGTGTTGCGTTCAGTGGGCAACGGTTTCAGCAACATGCAGCACCAAAGGTGCCAGGCATGAGGAAAAATGTCGCGGACCATTTGCGAGCAGTGATTGTTTCAAACAATTTCAGAGAGGGCAGTCCTATGGAGTCATAAATCATAGACATCTCCCTCATGGTCCCGGTGGATGTTTGTCAGTTCACCTCTCTCTCTCCCTCTCTGTCTGTGTTTGTGTCTGTCTCTGTCTCTGCTCTCCATTCAATACGTCGGCTCCCTTGCCCAGCCCATGCCACTAGCATTATCGTGTCTGGCGCCTTTACCGCGCAAACTTGTGCACGGCAGATGGAGAGTGGTTTCACAGCTCGGCCGATACCGGTTGTGCACACATTGTGGTCAGCCGCAGTTTTTTTTGTAGCCTCACTGCACATTTTTGAATGCAAAATGTTCTAGGTCATGCGCTCCTGCGGGTGATACAATACCATGTAGGATGAGTAAACGAGGCCAGGGGACACAACCTCAACCTATATAGCCCACGGCAAGCCAGTTGCAGTTGTACTTTTTTGCACGTCGCACGTATGCGTGCATCGTTGAATGGCATGAAGCGCCGGAGATTGCGGTCAAAGCAGCGGCCTCCCCCATGCTACTAGCAAATCGACGAAGTTGAAGACGGCCACGTCCTACCAGAAGCTGCCACTGCAGCTGTTGCCGTTGGCGAAAGTCAGGCAGACGGTGTGGACCCTGCCGAAGCGGAACGCGCTGATACAATCGCAGCCATGCCTGACGCTGTGGGCAGTGATGGCAGTGAAAATTTGGATTCGTGTGATCGGTGGCACAGTTGCTTGGCAAGTACAAGACTGTGCAGGCCTTGGTGGCAGCTGTGATTCGAGAGAAAACTGATGAGCAGCTCCAAAGCCTTAATTCGTATCAATGTGATTTTGGAAGATATCTTAGCAAAAGCGGGTGGCAAAGTCACCATGACAGAACTGTTGCAGGAGAAAGACGAGTTCATCTCAGCTTCAATGACTGCAGTGCCGAAAGAGCTCTCTCGGCGCTTGCTTCGTGCTGTGAAGCAACCACCAGCTGCTGCTGGGCTGCCATCACAAAAAGACTTACCTGCTCACCTTCTCCAACCTGGATCCAGTCAATGCTCTGACCAGGGAAGCCATCCTTGAAACCGTTTTGCGCACATTTGACACTGCAGACTATGGTTCGACTGCTTGCGTGACGCATGCCTGTGTTTTCCGGGAGCAGCATGGCAGTGGACAGTTGCATTTTCATGTGGCTACTGCGTTGTCGGAACCTTGCCGTTGGGCGGTTGGTCAAAGCCGGCTATGTTGCGCACTTTGCAAACATGGCGATTGATGACCACAGCAAGCACCGCAAGATGCAGTATGTCCATATGTTGCGGTGCCTCTGGTTACCATCCGAGCACAAGGGCTTGTCAGCCTCAGACAAGGATCCATTGTTGTGGTGCTGCGGGGGCTGGAAGCATCCGCCACTTCTGGATGCGATAAACGGCGTGCTGGAAAGTGTTGCAGTTGAAGAGAAGGTGGCCGAGCGTTTTTTGCAGCGTTGGGCTGCCGGCAAGCGCGGGCCATGCAAATTCTCTGACTTGGAGCTATGGCCGATTGCGACGCAACTTGGCCTACAAGCCGGTGACCCTGTCCTACTTGCTAAACTCCTGCAATTCCGGCAATGAGAGGCTCTTGACGTATCTCTTCCGCAACAGTGGCAGCATCCGAGAGAAGGTTGGGATGCGTTGTGCATTGGAGACTTGTGACCAAGTCGTTGCAGATGCCCAGACAACGACTTGGAAACGCTTCACTTCCGCCTTGGACCAGCCATGTTGTTGTGACAGAACGTGGGCGCCAGCTGCCCGCGAGATTCTTCGAAACAATGGCATTGACGAGGGGAAGCTTTGTCAACATTTGCGGTGTGCGCTTCTGTCCGGCCTCCAGAAAAAGGGAGACGTCTTGTGTTTTACCGGCTCTGGAAATGAGGGCAAGAGCTTCGTCCTGAAACCGCTGTCTATGATTCTCCAACGAGTCTCTTGGCGTGGTACTTTCCCATCACATGCTCTTTGGTTTTCCATTTTTCCCAGAGCTCGAAATCATACCCCAAGAGCTTTTGAGAGATAAGTCCGAGCGACGGTAAACATGCATTGCCGGGATTCCAGTGGCGGAGAAGTGGCCATGTTTTCGGTGATGTGTGTGTGGTACCCCGTCTGGAAGTTTTGTGACCATTATTGTTGTATACGCGACATCGAGCCATATCATGGGTATTATGGTGGGTTGATTTTCAGAGTGTTTTCAATCTTGTGGCTTTATTGAGAGCATCGCAATCCATGTTGGTGAGAAACAACAACAAATCATTTCCAGATTCTCAGTTTTTTTTCGCCTGACTCATATGTGTTCGGGCTCTCCTTTTGTATGGAAACGGCCCTGTGTGCCCACGTCAGACAAGCCCAGGTTTTCTATGCTCCAGCTCGAGGCTCATACCCTTCGTTGGATTTGCCACAGGCGCAAATCTGCGTCTTGGACGATTGGAGGCCTGATAATGGAGCGTTGGACGTAGGTTGTACGTTGCTATGGCTCGAGGGTGCCAAGCTGCGCATCAATCGTCCTTTGAACCTGTATAGTGGTCACCTTGATTTTCGGCCGACGCAACCCACATTCATCACATGTAATTGGCAAGCGTTGCATGTGCCCATAGGGCGCTGGACCGAAAGTGAACTGCTTATGCTCCGGTCAAGGCTGACTATTTACTATTTCCACCACAGAATCCAAAGTTTGAAGGACATCCCAACATGTCCATGCTGCTTTTCGATGTTTGTGCTCTCCAGTCAAAAGAATGTAACCAAATTCACTGCTGCAGGGTTCCCAACAGTGTAGCATGTCTGGCCTGATTGTCCCTAATTCATTGTCTAGCCAAGCAGCTCTACGAGTGCATCGATTGGCTTTGTTTACCGACGAAGGAATAGAACTATTTACAAGTCTGTGTTAGAAACCTCGCACCCCGCAGTCAAAGTTGTTTGTTTCAGTGGGCCTTGAGCCGCGCGCAGCTCTCATGCTGTAGAACAATTGTGTGCAAGTAATTCCTCGCAGAGGGAAAGACAACATTGATTCAGAGGGGCGCGGGGAGGACGGCCGCATGTGGTTGACATCTCTAGCAGTGTATTATGCACCTTCTCACTGTGTATCTGATTGCTCCTTCCTCATATGGCTCCTTCCTCATATTGTTTCTTACCTGTTCTGCATCTACTTCTCTTTTCTGTTGCTGCAGCGCTTCCCATGCAGACGGTTCAGCTTCTGGAGCTCAGGTTTTGGGCCTGCTGTGGTGCGCGGCGCAATCGTATTGAGACCATCGTGGGGGACGGAAAAAGGGCTCTCGTTTCGGAGGATCAGCCAGCTTCGCACTTGTGGCCCCTGCTTGTATATAAGTATGTGGGCGTAAGCTACTTAAAAGCTTCTACATATGGATAGCTCACACACTATAGTGATTTGCTTCCTAATTGTTTGGAAACAAGGATGATAAGTGCGCATGTGAAACACTGTCACTGTCGACAGAAAGCAGGCACCGCTTCGAAACAGCTCGTTGAGTGCTCCAACCCTTTGGAATATCGTCTCATCACAGACCTTTTCCATGTTGGCGGCTTCGCCCTGCGCGACCCGCGAGTTCACGCGGAGCAGCGAAAACGCTGCAGAGGCAACTCCGCGGAGCGCTCGGCACGACAAGCACTCCTCGTTTAACGAAGCTGAAAAACCACCGAATGAGATGCCCACACCCACATCATTCTCAGTCCCTTTCGATGCTGGGCAAAATGAAACCAAGATCAGCTCCCTCCCCGACCTCCAGCGAGGTCTTCTGCTCTAACAGGTCTTCGCCTGATCAAAAGCTGTGAACAAACCCTGGCACCCTGGCGAAAAAAACTTAAATAGACCGAATAGGGAAGTGAGTGTTCGGATTTCGAGTCATTTCTGGCTCATGCAGTTGGCATGAAGACAGCATTGATGTGAGCCTGGATGTGTTTTTCAATCCCTCACCTTCATCTCAGTTGCGCGCATTTATCAGCACCTTTGGAGGCTTTCTTTTTCTCGGTGATCTGGCTTTGGACCTTGTTCACCTCAAAATGCAGCTCGAACTGATAAGATGACATCTGGTGGCTGGGAAGGAAAAACATCACAAGAAGCAGTTGAAGCCTCTTTTCGCTTCTCATCCAACTGGAACTTCTGCTTCACCTTGAATGAAAGCGCGGCGGATCCACAAGCCATGAAGAAACTGCTTCGAAACAGACCTCCAACGACCCCCTGGCATCCACCCACCGTCCCATCTTCGAAACGGAAAACGGCGGCCAGGAGGTGTAGGCCTATAGCCTAGTAGGCCTATAGGGTATGTCTCAAACAGAAAGACCCTGCAAACAGAAAGGCCCATTGGGAACCACTTCCTCTTCTTTCTTTCGCTAGCGAGCACTCTCTCTCTCTCTCTACTTACTTCCTTCGTTTCACCCATGGCAACAGGCCCCGCCCAGTTCGCGTTCCGGACCCAAAGGGTGTCCAACTCCAGGACCTGGTCGATGAGCTTCGGATCGCCTCGGGGCCGTGCGATCGGCCGCCGCAGCGCCGAGCACGATCCGCTCTCTCTCTCTCAGGCGGCGACGAAAGCGGCGCTTCTCCGACTCTTTCACCAACTGGCGACGTGACGCGGCGGCGAAGAAAGGAAGAAAGGACGGAAGGGGCAGGGGTCCAAAGGCACGGCGGTGCGGCGTGCGGGTCGAAAGCGGCCGAATCAAGGAAGAACAGGACAAAGTGATGATGTGGTCTTCTATCTTTCTAAGAATTGTTCTGCCTGAAACAGGATTTGAGTCGAAAAAACTGTGCAAAAATGTTGGGCCAACTCCACGGAATGCTCAAAGAGCGAGCCCTAGGATTCCGGGCCCACCATGGAGTGATGTACCCTGGGAGTCCAGTCGACTATCACATGAATGGTCTGACACGGTGACCCGAGTCAAGGAATATGCTTTACTTCAGTGGGGCACAAAATATAGTCCAACTGGACTTCTAGGGTGTATATACAGCATTCAAATTGGGCTTATATACTAGGACCCACAAGGAATGGTTAATGGACACCCCTTATCAATAGACACCCCGTGTCCGGGTGTCCTGGTATAAGGCTTTAACAGGCTTTAACCGAACATCCATGAAAATCCTGATGGTTGTAGACGACCTGGTCGGTGATTCTACCAAACTCCTTGGAATCGGTCGTTCTCCTCCCGAGTTCGCTGCTTTCCGACGCAGATCTCCGGACCCGTGGGCCCGTGGCCCCGTCTCGGCGGCGCCTCGGGGTCTCCTCCCTTGTCCTTCCGAAGAAGATCGATTCCAATGGTCATGGCCCTGGAGCGAAGGGCGACCCACGCGTCGACGCGCCGCCCTGGAGCGAGAACGACCCAGCGTTTCGGGGGGGGCGGGGTGTGTTATCGGCATCTCGGGAGGGTTCTGCACATGTTCTGCACATGATGCATCACAAATGTGTATAGTGTATAGACTGGAAATTGATCCAAGGACTCGTGGTACAGTTCAAATTGTCAATTTCATGGCCATTCAAATCCCAAACAACAAAGAAGCCATCACATCTTTACTGCCCAGACGCTCCAAACAGCCCTTGGTCCCTCAAAACCTAGGGATTTGAGACCCCAGACCCCTCCATATATGAGGGTCCGACCCCTCCATATGAGACGGCGAATCCTCCTCAAGTCCGAACTGATCGCTCGTCCCGTCGTCCCCCCGTCTCCGTCTCCGTCTCGCCTGGCCCGCAGCCGGGGCACCCAGGGGCGAAAGCTCAGAATTCCGACCTTTTCAGAAGGGTCGTCCAAAATTGGGAAGAGCCTTGAGCCAGAATCGGCTGGGTCCACCGGCCTTTACGGCGATTTCCGCGATTCCCGCAATTCGATCTGGCGCGCGCATGGCCGTTTTGAGGATGGACAAAAAGCCGCATGTGTTCAAGAAACGATGGGGGAGAGGAGGACGGACGCGGAGTATCCTCGGAAATGAGGTCTATAACTAGTCCAAATATATTTTGCCCCACTGAAGTAAATTACTTATAATCTTTGAATAGTCTTGGACTTGCAGGGAATACATAATAAAAGCAGTTGAGAAAGTCTCGGTCCTTGTCTTACTCATTGCTGCCCTTGATGGTCCTTGTCTCTACCCCGCACTTGACTGTGTCCGCTGACTGTGTCATTCTTTTTCACCCATGGGGGGCCCGGTGATCTCGGACGGTGGCATGGTGCCATCCGACACCTCGGCAGGTGCCTGGGTCGATCAAAACAGAGGCCGGCCAGGACCGCACGCAGGCATGGTCCGTGGCGAGACGGAGACGCCGCGCTTCGCTTCCCCTTTCTCGAAACGGAAGCGGAAAGCCGAAGGCGGGTGATGCATGTAAAGCTCGGCCCCCTCTGTGACCCCTTTGTTGGGTGAATTCGCCCCACCGAGATCTTCTTTTGTATAGAACTGCTCCATGTCAAATTGATCGTCTTACTGTCTCTATCTCATGTTTGCCGGGAGAAAGGGCAAGCGAAGTCACGCTGACAGCAACTAGACTCGAGCCAGCGCAGCCTGCGCCCTGACCCCGGACAACTTTTGGCCCTCAGGAAAAGATTGCTCGTGAGCAAAGACCAGCAGATCTGGCGGCGAAGGAAATTCTTCGACGTCGAATCTGCGAAACTCTGGAAACAATGAGACCTATACAAGGGTTCAACATGGAGGGGCTTTCAAAAGCCTTGTCTGTCTCATCTCTCTCACTGTCTGTGTGCATGATTCATGTCTGTCCAGGAAAAACTCGACGTTTTGCGGCCTAAGACGAGGTGCTTTCCTCGCCGCTCCTCGGGGTCATCGGACGTAACCCCCGCTGTAAGTGCCATCGCCGCCTGGAGCGCTCGGGTTGTTCGTTCTGTTCTCGAGAGCCTGTGATGAGACTCGTCGACGTGACGATGGTTGGGTTTTTCCGCTTTTGAAAAGGGGCGAGCCTGGGAACCTCCCCACCCAACTCGGGGTTTGGAACCCAACTCGGGGTTTGGAACCCACTCGTTGATCGATCAAAACGGACGGGATTTGGATTTGACATGATTTGACCAAGTGTCAATGGGTATCACTCACGGACCCTTGAGACAGACTCCTTTGACATGAACTATAGTGGCCTCCCAGGTGGGGTTTTCTTTTCACGAGCTCCCAATTCCGGAAGTAAAACCAAATCACGCCTACCAAGTCTGCCCTGAAGGCATGTCGACTTCTTCAGTTCAGCATCCCAAGTCGGACCTGAAATCCGAATCGATGGATCTCGAAGTCCTTCTGGAGTCGATGAGTCTCGCTCGCGGTCACGTTTCCGCGTGACTCGGCCATTTCGGCCGGGGCCTCCATAGGAGTCGTACCCGGTATTTCCTGGAGTCCGAGGATGAGGGACTTCGGCGGAGGGACCGGTATCATCTTGACCGAAACATGCACCACCCTCGCTCCAAGGATCTCCCCTAAACGCTTCCCCTTGTGGGAGTCCTTGAAACGCCACTGTGAACACTCATGGATTGTAAAAAGCTCTTCGTATAATAATCGGGGGTGATTCATCGAGATTCTACATGTTTTCGGAGGGCCGGGCCCTATGGCCTCATGGAGAGAGCAATACCCTTTGTCATGGAGACCGTCACCACGACTCGTCACGGAGTTTCAAGTCTTCTCTCGCAGGCGCCACGTGTGCCTTGAGCGTATTTGCCGCCCCACTGTCCATCGAGGTTGCCTCAGCGCCGTCTCCAGGCGCCACAACCGCCGAGACGTTGAGGCGGAGAACGCGTGCGCGCGCGGATTCCGTCGGCTTTGCGACGCCAGGATGTTTGGGCGCCAGGTGGCCATAACCTCCACCTCCGCCACCGCCTCCTCCTCAGCGAGAAAGATTCTGAGTGGATGCCCGAAGTTTTTCAGGACTCAAGTGATCTGCAACTCACAAAGCCTCTGGTGAAGCAGGCTAAATGGGTTGCCCGTCCAGTTTTGTTGGTCCGTGATCGATGAACTCCCCTAACAGGCACCACAGGGTCTCAAGATGGCGAGCTGGACTAAAAGCTTGTGACATGTGCCATACTATAAGGATGAGGCCGGACCAAAAGCGACCGAAATTGCTCGTCTCAAAGAGTCTCCAAATACAACCCTAACACGGCCACACATTCTGACACAAACAACAACAAATAGGACATGTCTTTCTTTTCTTTCGAAAATCGTCTCTTCCGGGTCACATTCCTTCTCAGGTCACGGGTCAAACCGACTCGTCGGCCGAAAGAAGACGCGTGGTGACCACGCGTGACCATGTCCACCGACAGTGGCAATTGGAAAACCACCTGGACCAAAATACCAAGCAGCCACTTAGTGTACAGGATCTCAAGCTGCCGCCGCTGGGTTCCAGAACCGTTTCTGGCTGGGACTGGGACTGCCAAGCACTTTGGAAGGAAAGAAGAAATCTAGAACCAATCACTGTAATCACTTCAAAGTCATCCCAAGTCAGCCAGACTCCTCTCCAACCAGCAGAAAAAACCTTGAAACACCCCTAAAACGCATATAGCCTCCCGATGTCTTCACCCGTCCCGATTTCGAAGCTCTCCACCCGAGCAGGTCTCCCCCCCGGACTGGAAAGGTTTCTATACCGGACCGTTGTCACAAACATCTTGAACATCGTTCCAAACTGATTTGGGGCAAAGGGCTGTCGTTGCTTCCGTCCCGCTTGGACCGTCCCATGGACCTCTCGGACGACTGCGTCGGACTGCGAGTCTAGCGTCCGACGCCCCAGGACTGGCCGATGCTACCCCGGGCCAAATCCCGCAGCTCTGTCGGCACTTCCTCGCGACATCGACCGAGGTCTGCTGTCGATGTCGTTGATGTCTTCGGCTCTCGGCTCGGCTCGGGTTGTTCCCTAAGGGGATCGAGCCGAGCTGAGCGGGGTCGAGCTGGAGTCGGAGTGAAGTCGCATGGAGAGACATGAGGAGATGAGAAAAATCACTTAAGTTGGGAGTCAAAGAGTATGAAAAGAAGGGTCTGACTACCTGAGAGGGAACTTCACTTCAGTTGGTCAAAATATGTCATTCGATTTGGTATATAGATTTAGTGCACAGGCCTCTATGTGGAGCATCACCCTAACAGTTTTATGTGGAGAGTGACGTGACGGGTGAACTTCTGCAAATGATTGACTGGTAGCCACTTACAAGTACTATAGTACAGTACGGTATGAATCAGAACCAATGAGGTCCGAGCGGCTCTTGCTTGCGTTGAACCAACCCCGCACACGTGACCGGCATTCTTCGTCCGAAACTACCGTAACCGTCCGCAGGTGCAGGACCGCGCGGTCCTGCCCGGCTTTGATAAACATTTTCATGATTCCATTTGCGATCCTCAGCGCAGCCAAGCCGGCAACAGGGGACCAGCCACATCAGGGATGGACGTCACCACACCGGTCGTGAAGGATCGGGTGCTCTCTGTTTTCTTCACGAAAAGAAGGGTTTGATCCCAAACGAGTGAAGAGGACTCCTGTCGCGTGGCACAGACATCTCCCAACCTCCCCATGAACCCGACATGGTGTGTTCGTGGTCGCCGGTGAACGAGCACACTTCCTTCGCGTTCGCGTTCGGGCGCCCGCACTGCGTCTCACTCTCGTACAAGCAAGTGTAAGCATCACCTCCCGGGTTCGGGGCTCAGTGCTTTTCACCCGCGAACCCGCGAACCCATCCTCCGTGTTCCAGCCTCGCCGATAAGGGACGGACCCCTTTGAGTGACATATTCTTCCCACAGCCCTTGGTCCCTCAAAAACCTACCTGGACCTGAAAAAGGTAAAGGGGTGTCCTGGACAGGGAGGTCCCTGATCGTAGTGGGCTGGGGCGAAACCAGCCAGGTGACCCCGACATGAAGGTGCTGGTAGGGATTTGAGACCCCCAGACCCACTCGGACCGGTAACAAAGACACCGCTCGAACCGCTCGGGCCTTTCTCACCGGCGCGGCCTGTACGGCCAATTCGGTGGACGTAGTCCTGATCGGTGGCGAAAACCACCGAGGTCGGAATTGCAGTCGCCGCGCCGGAATCGAAGGAGGTCCGAGGGTGGGGGCCAAAGGAGCTGGAAGCTCGAAGCTGAAGGTTCATAGCTGAAGATCATATACTTCTTTCGAAGTCCAAGACGATTTTTGGGTGACCCTAAGTTCGGAATATCCACTTCGGTGCCCCAAATCGTCGGACTTCTAGCTATCGACCTGGTCGCTTTGGTTGAGACGGAGATGTTTGCTTCAGACCGCGAGCTCCGGCTCCTCCATGTTCGCGGGTGCATCATAATTCACCACGAACTGGACCTAGGTGAGACGACGCGACTCG